TGTCTTTGAGCTGTTCTTCTCGCAGGCCATGTGTCTATAGTCGAAATAAGTGATAATCTGGGGACCACATATCGGGACTATACGGGGCATCAGGAAGCACCCTTGCCACTCTAACTCTAACAGTAACCATAGGCTTCGCCTTTTTAGCACTTCCCAAAATATAGTAATCCTTCGTTAATACACCAAACACAGAGAAGAGCTTTCTTTCCATGTTGTTCTGGTTTCGATGTCAGTTTAGGAATTACTCCTGGACTCAGCCATTGACGTCTTCCAGATAAATTGTCGTATCGGGTATTGTATGAAAAATACAATGAATCTCTCCGTATGGATTACCATTAGTGAAAGCGATGGATTTATTAAGAGTAATCCCGGTGGGGAGTTTTCAGGCCTGAAAGGGTTTTCTGTCCTTTAAAGCATTGATTGCATGTAAAACTTTCAGGTCTGAAAGGCTTTCAGGCCTGAAAATGCTTTCAGTACTGAAAATGCTTTCAGTACTGAAAAGCTTTGATTAGTGTAAGGCTTTGTAATATTTCTTTCTCAGAGAAATATGAATTTGACTACAAATAAACAAAATATTGTAACTATTTGTAAATCTCATTGTTAAAAATAAACATTTGAATTAAAAAATAGCTCTGTAACATTGAGTTGAAGATTCGAACCCAACTGCCAAAATAGTACTGATTAATTCCAGTTTCAACGGTTCAAGGCTGATCTCAGGAAGACGGCAGTTTCAAGGCTGATCTCTCTAATCTCCATTGCCTTTGCCTTTATTTCTCTTTGAATTGTTGGACAAAGAAATCCGTGCGAATCTCTGGGGTGTTACACATCATTACAATCTATTACTAAATCAATTACAATCATTACAATCTGTCATTATAATCGTCCACAATCATTACCATCATTAAAAATTCATACAACCATTTCCTACTGACCGGATAATATCCCCCTCATACGCGGATCTCATGATCCCGAATGTCAACACTTTGATCAGTCGATTCTCACCAACTAAAGAATTCCTTGCCGCTAAATCTCGATGAATGAAACAATGAGAGATCAGGTAAATCTCAATTCTGTATCAAGATTTGGCTACTCTCCTTTTACGACTATATAAAATATTGGCTATATTAGCTGTCTTTTTTTGGCCATAAAAAGAACATATATGTTTTTTGAAGTGGAGTGTCCTGGTGACGACTTTTGACTTTGACTTTGACGCATAAAGCATAACTCAGCTCCCATCAAAGGTCCAAAGTGTAACGAAAACCAGGACGAAGAACTATAGCTGGACACCAAAAATTTTATTTGAAAAATTTGTCGTTTTTTCGTGCGAACACCATTCGATTCAGTTTATATAAGAAAACAAAATGATTGCACACAACATTGAAAGATATTCTGGTTTTGGTTGCAAAGGCGGCTCCACCAATGCAGGAACCACCATTAAAGTCTTCGAAACTGCGCAAGCGACGACACCACTCTAAAAATAATATAAATAAATTGTGACGACAAAACTAATTTTAATAAACTGCGCCTTTATCCGCCTTGTTTAAACGGGTGTTTGTAGCAACATTCAGAATATTTTTTGATTGAGAATTTGAACTCACCGGGTGCAGAGGAGTCGCATGCCGTAGACATGCAAACAGCAATAGCTGACCATGGCAGAAGAAGCTAAAATCTTTGATTTCTCTTTTGAGCTCTTCGAAGCCATTTTGGGCCATCTTTCTAATAAGCCAAAACTTGAAGCAATTTATAGGCTGAGAAATGCGCTAATTGAATAAAACTTGAGAAGATTAATTTATTTAAACTTGAACCCACACACTGAAGACTATGAGAAGAACTGGCGAAGAGAAGAGCGAGACAAAAGGAGAACGAGACGCATTGCTTGTGTTAGAGCTAGTTAGAGCTAGGAACTAAATAAGGACGATCAGGAGAATCGAGCTAAAAAAAGGAGCTTTCAAAAGCTAGATAGGGTAAGCGCTATCATTTAAGAGAAAGAACGGCGAAGAGAAGAGCAAGCACAAGAGGAGAGAAGACGTGATGTGTTAGAAGCTGTGAACTGATGGCAGATCGAAATCCTTGTCAGTCCCAATACTATTTATATATTTATATAGCAAGCTGGATTGATAACAACCCAAAACAAAAAAAAAATCGGATTCAAACGATCAAAAACGAGCTTGAGGGACAGAGATTGATCACGTGAAATTTTTGAAGCAAACTGATTGGGGATGCGTCCTGTTCTTCAGACCTCTTTTGCCAAATATTTTACTGACCAGCATGTTGGGTCGAGATATGCTTCTCCGATGTGCGTTGTTTTCATCATCCCATCTCTAAAAATAGAAAAATAATTAAAGATTAAATTGAGTGCTTAGTAAATCAACCTCACAAAAATTGGATTCGTTTTGGGGATTATCGTCCCATGATTATTACTAAAAAATCCACTAATCATCGGTAAGCCTCTCAACTTAAGCCATCAGAGTTTAAAATCGTTAATCAATTTGCAGGGGCTTTCCAAAAGTGGGTTTCATTGGGGAACGAGGCTCACCTCAAATAACACATGGTTGGTTGAAAAATTACTTTATAACAAAGGAAAAACTTAGCTATAAGAATTTATGGAATGTAGTTTTAAAACAGTGATAGAAATGGAGAAAAAGTTCACAACAGGGCCATCAATTTTTTTCAATCAATCTCACTTTATTCTCGAAAATTCCTTGCAGTTTATCTAGAGTCAAAAATAAAAATCAAATCCAGTTTCTAAATCGATGTTACAACCTTGTAACCATACTTATGCCGCACTCTGTACATGATGGTGAAACAGTCTTTTAAAAAGTTAACAAAATCCGGTTTCAGCTTGCGCTCCTCATCACACAAGAAACCGAACCAACCGATCAACGTCTCATTCCTGAAATAAGAACGTTCGAGCACATTAATAGCAGCCTTGTTTCAATTTTGTTCACCTAATGTTTTGAATCAGTACTCATCTTCTTCACAATGATTGAATTTAAAATTTACCGGCATCGCATATCATCTCAGCGTCAATGTGCGGGCGCAAAGAGCGCCTGCGACATGCCTTCTCCTAAATATTAACATCAACTTGGCTGCTAGGCTATAGCAATGCTATCTTCCACAACTTGGATCAGGTACTAAGAAGAATTTACTTTTGTCTCGTTTGAGTCCCTATTTATTTCCTACACTCTTTCAAAGCTGCCTGAAAGCTCTTTCAAAGTCTTGTTCACAGTTGACATCTAGCGTCTATTGCTAAGGACCGGTCTGCGTGTAAAGAAATATTATGTGCGCGCTTGGTACTCTTCACTCAAGACACGCTGTTTCTTCTTCATCTTCTCTAAAAAGATTTGTGAAATGTTTTTTTGGATCTTTTGACTTCCAGGGGGTCTGCCCCACGTTCTAGTTGGCTGTCATCAACCACCACTCTAAAGTCTCCGAAAAATCTGCTTATAAACTCAAGGGATATTTTTAAAACCCCATACAAAACTTTGGATACTCATAATCAAGCTCCTCTATCAACTTATTTAGTTCCTATCCGGCTCCTTGAAAGCTCCGTGAAAGCTCGTTTATCGTCCAAATTTAGTTTCTATAAAACTCCTTGAAAGCTCCGTGAAAGCTCGTTTATCGTGCATATTTAGTTTCTATAAAACTCCTTGAAAGCTCCTTTATAGTCCTTATTTAGCTCCCATAAAACTCCTTTAAAGCTGCTTAAAGCTAGAAACATAGAAAGATAGAAATATATAGAAAGATGGCAAGATATAAAGATATAGAAAGATAGAAAGATAGAAAGATAGAAAGATATACGAAGATAAAAAGATAAAATAAAAAGGTAGAAGATATAGAAAGAAAAAGATAGAAAGAAACTTTCAAGTCCTCCAAGCGGTCCAAGCGGAAAAATATAGAAAGATAGAGAGATATAAAAAGATAGAAAGATATAAAGATAGAAAGATAGAAATGCATATCCGATTCGATCTTTTACAGAACATGTTGGGTTCAAATATTCGAGCTTGCGGCTAAAATTGAAATTCATGAAGAATTATTGAGAATCACTGACCGATTTTGCATAACATTCGTGCGTGACATTTCTTAACATAACCATTGGAGTCTTTCCAATGAAAGCGTTTGCATTTGGAGAGATATGTTCTTCCAAACGAAGCTTTTCAGCGAAATCGATCCCGAGAAATGAGAGAAGAGAGTTTTGAGCCATGCCTGAGTTGAAACCCAAATGTGTATTCTTGGTGTGATTCTTTTAGAGTTTTCGATCCAAATCAATTTCGATTTCACTTCACGGTAATGGTATCTGGAATGTTCGGAAAGTTTTATCTGTTTAAATTAAAGGGTTATTAAAATTATAATTATAAGAGTTGACTGAAACTGCCATTGCTTATTTTTCAAGATTATCTTTCAAGCAGATTAGCAAAAAATCGTCTGCAGAAGTTTCGAATCTTTTCTAACTAATCTGAAATTTTAATTTGATGTCTTCTGCTTAATATTTAATCTTTTCTAAGAATAAGCAAGTTTTAGAGAAAGAGTTCAAAGTACTATTTAAAATGGACAAAACAAGATAAGATCGTCGGCGGGAACAAGTGTTTTACCTTAACCTCAACATAAAATCAGTGATCTCTATGATTCCTTGTGCTTTCTGTGATTCCCTGTGATTTCTGTGACCCTTTGCCTTGTGATTCCACACTCTTCAAATATCCAGAAATGCTGTAAAATCTGGGTAACTCTGTATTCAGTTGCCTTGGAGAAATTGCAAGTTTTATTTCACAAAAGTCATATTTTATTGTGAAATATAGAAAATAATCCAATGCATGAATTGGGATTGGGGAAGGAAAAAGGAGGGAAGGAAAGAGAGGGAAGGGAAGAGAGGGAGGAGAGGGAATATGTGAGAAAGGGGAGGGGATAAGACAAGTGAGTGCCTATCGAAATCAGAATTGGAAACGAAAATGGGTATCAATTCTTCGAATGAAACTGGACACACGTTATGTACAAGTCGTTTATTGGATATTTAAATGGCAAGTGGAATAGTCCATATTGTGAGTGCCGCGTATCGGCGCAATGTTCGGGTCGGGACTGAAAATTGAGGAATTCAGATTTTAGGGTAGGATTTAAATATCAGATATCTAAATAGCTTGACTCTAAATATGCTGCCCAAGTGCCCTGAAACAACTTCTACACATACTGCATCAGTACTCTTGGGCTACAGTTTCCTTGGACTTAAAGCTATTGACTGTACATCCGCGTCGGCATCTGCGCGCAGTCTCAGCTTCAGGATAATCAGGATAATCTAAGCAAGCCTTAATCAAGATTTTCGACTTCTAGGGATCAAAGTATTTTGCTATTTTGTATTTCAATGTTGCTACTTTGTTTTCTTTCCAGCGTACCTAAAACTCGATGGATCCGACGAGATATGATGCCTAATCTGGCTGGCGGCAAGGTTTGGCGTTGGGCCGCCGGCTTGTGACATCAACGGGTCCGAGTGGAGGAGTGAATTGTTCTGTATGCAGAGCATATTAGAGATTTCATATTTAAATCAGAATTTAGATCTTAGGGTTTAGATTTAAATAGAATGGCATCTTTTTTTATCTATTATCTCAATCCTACCTCAAGACACCACTCCGTGATCAAATCGGGGAATGGCCCGTGGTGGATCCCTTGGCTGTCTGGGCGGTCTCTGCAAAGATTAAACTATTCAGAAAGAGTTTTAAGATGTATACATTGAATATTTACTGACCATTTACTGCCTAAAAACTAAACAACTAATTGCAAACTATTGAATGATCATCCAGCTAATAGCTAGGTAAGTATTTGATAAAGTAATTTCTTACGGTAACCGCCGTGGCTTCTACGTTCACTTCTACTACTGTAGCTACTTCCTACTTCTGCAATAAACTTCTACTTTAGTTTCAACTTTGCAACCAAATTGGCCACGCTGCTCCTATTTGATACTAATTTTATCTAAATATTGTAAACAATCAATAGAATATAATTAGACGAAGTTTTGTTTGATATATCTATAACTTCTCCACCTCCATTGTGGCGTCTGATAACCTTGTGGACTTGAGCCAAAGAATTGGTCGGACCCATGGTAAATCCGTCCTAGCGGGGAGGCAATCGCCATCGCAGACGTCGTGTCAGAGAGTTGTGACATAAAACCCGATGAGGACTAAAAATAAAGAAAAAGAGCAAAATATAGAACATAAATTTAGGGGACCTAGTACTAGTTGCTAATTTTTTAGTACCCAATCGGGAGCCGATTGATTGCGTGTGTTCTCGAGGGGAGTCAAGAGAAGAGTTGAGCAATCGCTTTCAAGTGATCCGCATGGGGTTTGATTTGGACTCTCTTGGATCTCCTGTCTGAATGGTTGAGAAGCGGAGGGGATGGCTGGGAGTGGGGGAAGAACTTTGGTGGGCGCCCTGAGGCCATTCTTTGCCAAGATCTCCTCGAGTTCCTAGAATTGCGTAAAGAAATGGATATCCTTAATCTTTATTTACTCGCTTATAAGGATGATTTAACAGCTATCTACACTGATGAAATATGATATTTGAAAAAGATCGTCACTTTCGCGCGGCTGCAACTCCCTTGTCTTTACCACTAAATAATAATATTAACACTTGGTCAGCCTTGAAAAGACCTTTCAGAAAATGTATACACTCATAGTTGAAACTCAAAGTACTGTATCTGTAGAAAAGATTGAATAGGATAGGGAGCCAAGCCAAGTCATTTTCCTCACTCACCCTGACTCGATCGGCGTACTGTTTCGCAGCGCTTTCCAATTTGTTCTGTTGTTGCTGAAACCTCTTCTTTGCATAGAAGCTTTTTTTCACTTACATATTGACCCTTTTCCAATTGTCGAATGTAGTCACAAGATGCTTTGAGAATCGTCCCTTTGTTCAGCTTCATCTCTCTAAATTCGGCTGTGATAACGCGAAGTAAATATTTAGCGTTTTTTCTTGAAAATTTGATTCTAACTCACTTGGAGGCTTCTTTAGGCAGCAAAAGCCCTAATTCGTTGATGCGGTCTTTGATATTATTGCGACGAAGGCGTTCAACTGAAAAACTCGTATAATAGGTTTTAGCAAAACCTCTGAAAAACTTCTGATTTGATTCATAACTATGAATGAAATGGGAAATGAACTCACTCCCATTGTGAATGTCCTTCTTTTTGCGATCATGGTCAAAATCTGGATTATCGGCACTGGGAATGGATCCTTTCGACGAGCCACGTACCTGCAAACAATGCTTCCTCATCAATTTGTTTGACGAAACGAATGAAATGAAGGATTTAATCCAAGGGAGATTCCAATAAATGTCTTTCAAGAGCTCGCTTGATTAGGAAAAGTTCAACTTTTATCTCAAAAGGTCGAAAGATGCCCGGAAAGGTCGATTCAAGGTAAGTTCATAAATAATTGCAAATAGGGTGGGGAAAATCGAGAATCGTTCCGTGGATTGGGTGATGGATGAGGCTGGATGAAAGCTAACAGGAAAAGAAAAAAGGCAATAAAGGCAAAAAGGCAAGAAAAGAAAAAAGGCACTAAGCCATGAAAATAAATTTTTTAAAAATACTTTTTTATCTAATCTGATATTTTTATATGGAAGCTTACAACTGAGGGTTCAGAAAAACCCCTTTACTTAAAAAGTTGTTTTCGAAAAATTTTAGAGTTTTTACAAAAATTTAGGTTATTATCTTCTTAATTTGTTGTGGGGTAATGGTTGAGTACCACCGAGGAAACCCACTGGATTCGGATGTTGGTGGAACAAATGTTGGCTGTTGGGCCCTGCCGGGCATTTTTTGAAGGTAGCCAACCAATCGATGAATTGATCAAAAGATCGGGAAAGGGGTGAAGCCTTGAGATAAAGTGATTCAAGAAGACGTGGGGAATGTGAGGAAATGAGACGACCAAAGGGGGGTGAAGGGGAGCCCCTTCCGCCGTATGCCTCCTCTCATCAGCCGCCAATTACGAACTCTTTGTCGCGATGAAGCTATTGGTTTTCTTTGGGTTTTTGACCAAAATTTGGGGATGAAAACAATAAGTGTACTTATCATTGATGTCATGTCTGACAAGGGAATATTTCAAACTAGGAAAAAGTTCTTTGAAAAGATTTCTTTGGTATAAGCGGTATGATATTTTGAAAATCCTATCCTGACGTCACCCTCAACACTTGAATGGTTTTTAAAGTTTTTGAAGAATAGAACCGGCTCAAAGAAGACCATTAGAAGCTCAAGGCTGGGCTGGTTCCAACTGGAGCGAGCATTCCTCTAGCTGATAATTTCTTTAGCAAATATATTTAAGAAAAATATCATAATCAATCAAATTTGGGCTCATTCATTGAGACTTAAATGATTGCTCATCAAATCTGACCAGAATTGAGCTTATTGAATAGGAAAAATGTCTGATTTGCGGTAGTTTTATGAATAGATGCCCTTTAGAGGTAGAATTTAAGGCCTGGTTACATCTGAAGCACGATAGTAATTGTAAGGAAAAGATTGACGACAAATATCGCCAAGAAAGGCGAGAGTTCAATATTATTAAAGATTAATGTTTTCAAAAACGAACATGTTGCGGGCCGTGCATTGGCAGATGAATGGGTGGCGGTGGCTGGAGTTGTTGCTGTTGTCGCGGTGTCCGATGAATGGGATTCGATCGATTGTTTGCCCCGATTCTGTGCGATGAATTGTGAAGGCCAAGCACCAATTCTGAAATGAGTGGTCATAGATCTCTATCTCGAAGTGGACTTATATTCTAAATGTCAACTCTTCACAACCTTGTCCTTTATTCTGTTGCTCTTATTTCTTGTTTTCAAGCTTTTTTTTGTATTTTTCAAACTTTTCCTCTGATTCCATAAGATAGTGAGGACTGCAAAAGTAGTTCAGTATCTTGAAGGCTTAGAGTCAGTGTTTTTGCATTCTGCTTTTTTTGACCTACAGCTCATTTTTACACTAATTTTTAGCTAAGTCTGCGTTTTCATGAAACGTATTCCTCGCAAGATTTATAGTCGTTTAATCAGCTACCATAATAACGATTTGCGTGATGCTTTTCATAGAAAAAAAATTAAATATTTTTTGAGTAAAATTGAAAAACAAGCCGGTAAACTCAAACGGT